TTTCAAGTAGTCAAAATGGATTTTAAATGATCTTCTTGATTTAGTGAGTATCTTTCATCAAATAAAGAATTTCCATCAATTTATCAGCTCAAAATATATTTTTCTCACATTTTCCATTATTTAAAAGAATGTACACATTTCAGTTTCATTTACTCCATTGTTTTTACCTAATTGCATCATTTTCCCGCTTTTTTATTCACATATTTTACAGAAACATGATAGTATTACAAAGACAAAGGTATAAATCCTGGGCAATCTTAATTAGACATTTCAGTTAAAATTGTGCCTGATTAAATGTTAAAAGGGCCATTTATTTAGCTTATCTTAATGTGACATGTAAGAAACTTGAATAGGTGTAGACGCGGCCTTAGGGCCCGTCTACACCTATCCAAGTCTTGAATGCAAGTATCATATTCTCTTGTATTGCATAGTGTAGACACCCTACTTGAATGAGTTTTAAAGAGAAATTATGTGATATCCAAGAAGATAATTCCTTGCAAGACAGTTAGAACACGTTCTATTTTTCTACAAGTTTTTGGCTGTCAAGACACTGATAACACCGGTTTGACACAAAACATGTGCCCTGAAGGTGTGAAAGTGTTGTTCTTTTTTATTATTTTCTGACTTTTTTGTTACTGATCTGTAAATTTAAGTAAATGTATACAATGTCTTGGTCTCAGGAACAGATCAATACACTGATACACAGAAGAACAAAAAAAAGAAAAGAAAAAAATCAGTTTTCAAGTAGTCAAAGGGATTTTAAATGATCTTGTTCATTATAATAGAGAATCACTTTCATTTGCATCAATTTATCAGCTCAAAAAAATTTTCTCACATTTTCCATTATTTTAAAAGAATGTACACATTTCAATTTCATTTACTCCATTGTTTTTAGCTAATTGCATCATTTTCCCGCTTTTTTATTCACATATTTTACAGAAACATGATAGCATTGCAAAGACAAAGGTATAAATCCTGGGCATTCTTAATTAGACATTTCAGTAAAAATTGTGCCTGATAAAATATTGAAAGGGCCATCTATTTAGCTCATCTAAATGTGACATGTAAGAAACTTGAATAGGTGTAGACGCGGCCTTAAAAGGATATCAAAAAGTTACTGTGTAATGATTTGTCCTTGCAAACTCCACGCGTGTTATCTATGTAATAAATATTAATGTGTCCTCACATTGGGTAATATCAACTGAAACACCTGACCTCGCCTTATCAAAATCTGCCAATTACAATTATTACAATTATTACTAGCAGTACTGGTCTCTTCAGGAAAAAAGCGGCTACACTAATTGCTGCCAAGAGCCAAATTGCAGTTATACAGTTAAAACTATTTTGGCCGTTTCGGAAACTGTTTCGGAAACCAACCATACGATTATGGAAACGGTATAATTTACCGATTTTTATAATAAATAAATGCAGATACGTGTATACTTCATTAGATGAAGCTTTTTAATATTTTAAGTTCCATTTTTCAAAGAAAATGGTGGAGCTATTGTTACGTCTCATTTACCTTTTGATTTTCGTAATAACAATGCTTTTACCAGTTGTCTATCCGCCTGGTAGATTTTTTAACTACTTGGAAAATTGAAGTGTTTGTTGTTTGTCTGCTCAGGCTAGGGATTTTATCCGTTCTGGAAAACTCTTACAGGTTGGGTTTTTGTCCGTTCTGGAACTCTTACTTGTTATGTTTTTGTCCGTTCTGGAAAACTCTTACAGGTTGGGATTTTTGCCCGATCAGAAAATTTACATGAAGGTGTTCTTGTCCGGTCCGAAAAACTCTTACAGATTTTTCTGTTCAGCAATTGAATATTTAACACAGTCTATACACATTTATTCATGCACGAATTAAAGGCCAAGTTTTGCTTAAAATAGTTCCAAGACTTAGTTCCAATTGAAGCTTATTCTTCAATATTTCTGACAGAGACCAATATATTCAAATCTACGCATGGAAACACAGTTTTGTTAACTGCAAAAAAAAAAACAGTTGTGGGAAATAGAATCCTTCATTACTAATGTTTTAATATAAAAGCAAACTGTTCATAGATTATAAAGGAAAAGTAAAAGATGGGAAGCAAAGGTCATGTGATGTAAACAGAAACATCAGCAATGCCTTGAGTAAATATTGTACATATTGTTAACTGAAATATATTCACGGTGATTGCCAAATATAATACATTTTTAGATAGTAATTTGTAATAATAGTATTGGAACGTAATCATATTTTACTATGCAACTTTAATATATAATTTGACTGTTACCTCATCAATTTCCTTTGTTTCTGTTTCAGCAATTGACTGACTGTCCAGTTATTGCCATCTTCCCGTCAAATTAATCATTGCAATATGTAATCGGTAATCATTTTGTCTGCAAGCAATCCATCCGTTATATCATTCACCTTTAAACCCATGCATCCAATTTTAAATGATTATAAGTAAATCGAGTATATTTGTAAATGAAAAGTTACAAAAACAACATTGGGGAGACATATTTTACGTGTTTAACATAGATGACCTCAACCAACCCGTTGAATGGATGGACCGAACTTCACTGATTTGAGAGACGATGAAATTGCAGAAACGGTATACCAATGTAGATATCCTACGGCGAACATTGACAGACTCGCTAGACTTTTTGTACAATTATTTGAACTACATACACGACAGATGACGCTAATAAAAATTTCTTCACTTTGAATTTATTGACAACAGGTTATTTCATGAAGGTTTTCGGTGACACCTCCACCATCTCTCGGTAATAAAGTAGCTTCCAAAATCAAGGGTCGAGTGAGAACGTTTTTCTGTGACGGGGTATGGACCTTCGACGAGTCATGAGTGGATTTTACCCAATAAATGAATGTTGTTGTTTTTTTCTATCCGTCATAGGTTATTTAGGTTATAGAGATTAGACAGGTGTAAAAATACAAAAGATTGCCTCGAGTTGACTGTTTAACCATCAATTATTGTTTCTATTACATGGGGAGCATAAATATATTTTACATTTCCCGAGGTTAACTGGTATGTTTATAGTCAATGATAAATTACTTGTATTTAATCTCACTGAATTATGTCTGTACAGAAATAGAATAGCCAAAACCTTGTAATCTCATTTATCATTTTACATAAAAGCTCCATATGCTAAGCAACATTACATTTCAACCCTGTAGCCATGGAAATCAATTCAGTGCGTTATCAACTACTCTGGTAATTTATAAACATGTTTTTCTTTCTTTTTCTTGCCGTCTCTGAAATATTTGTCTTTCTTTTATCCGTATCGCAGCGGTCAGTCACACCAAGGATAACTATCAAGTACTTGTCAATTTGTTCCCAAAGGAATGGCTACTTACCCACTTGATCTCTGAATCTGCGATTTAGAAACACATGGCAAATAGTCTCAAAGTTCGAACCGATTTTTTGCCGAAAGGTTACGCCTCACACGATGATCGAACCAGCGGCTCCTCCCTGTTTTACTAAATGCAATATTCTCCAAGATAAACAGGCGGAATATTAATTACTGCTTTACAGTCTCAGTCAAAGTATATTTCAGATGTAATCGAAATTTTATGTTCATGTACGGGTAACATATAGGCTCAAAGGTTTCGTGTCTTTTTTCCCCTTGTACGTTATGTCATTGTACTCATGCACATGTCGCAATACTAAACAATATCTTATCTTATCTGTAATTATGACTAAAAAATCAGGTTTTGTTTAGTACCCGTCACAGTTAAAGGACAGTGAATTAGCTTTTTTTCACTTATATCCTAAGGACACTTCCATGCCAGTCAAATGTTACACAATGTCATCAAATGATTGAAGTTACAACCTGTTACAGATTGCCTTCCAGAATTATTTGACAGCTAAGGGCAATGTGGCAATGTTAAGTTCTAGCATTTACTATAAAAAGCGCAGGTTTTTCTAACATACCGAGAACACTTGAGCAGCTCGTCTAAGGTAAGATATCGTGATATTTGTATAAAATATTTTTATATCATATATGTGTATGTAACAATATTTCTTCTATCTAACTAGTATACGAAACGTTTTTTACATCTCTGTATGTTAGAATAAGAATATCATAAGGTTATAGTGAATATATTATTTTATCAACATAGAAACAATGTACGCTTACGTGACAAATAGTTTATGTTAATAATATTTCATTGCAACTATATCATACATCTCAGATATGAAAAGCACAAAAAAAGCAAATGTACATATAAGTATAGTGCAAATGGGTTGGGCTACAAGCAGGGCTCCAGATAAGATGCGTATACGCGTAAATTACGCATGGAAATAACACGTTTACGCATTCAAAACAAAATTTAAGCGTATGAAAACGCACACAAAAATCAGGTTACGCACTGAACAACATTTCTTTCGCGTAAACGTAACCGAAAGTAAACTCTGATTATTTTATTTTTAATTTCGTCTGAACGCTTTGCAAGCGTCTACCGGTAACTTCCTGTAGTTCCGACCATCATCGGTTGTTTTCGTAAGTATAGTATGGTGGTGGAATTAACTTCGTATAAATGCCTTGCAACGTCTAACGGTTACTTCCTGTAGTTCCGACTATCATCGGTTGTTATCGTATGTATAGTAAGGTGGTGGAATTAACGCAATTTTATAAAAACATCCGGTACAATGTCGCTGTCAAAAGTAAACACGATTGACTCGTATTTTCAGCCGAAAAAAATCGACCCGAAAGTAATTGTTAAGTTTATAATCAATGAAATAATTAGCGCTGCCACGTATGAGCAACAGAAACATGTGTCAGCCTCAGATAAAACGTACGCCGTTTGGAAAGACCTGTTCCCGTGGATTGTCATAAATTCAGAAGACCCGTCACAGGTTAAGCTTAAATGTTCATTATGTATAAAATTTCAAATGAAAAATGCATTTACTACAACTGGTTCTAGCAATATTCAGAAATCAACCGTTGAGCGACACTGCGAATCTGCGGACCACCAGACTGCTTCTAAAATGTCATTGAAATTAGAAAGTTCTAAAAAAGATCCTACGCTATTAGATCAAGATTCAGAAGAGATAAAAAACTGTAAATTGTTGGATTCAGACATTTTTTTGATAAGATCGGTTTACTCTCTCATGAAAAATGAATTACCATTTGAAAAACTTGATGCAATTTTGGAACTTCAACGGTTAAATTCATTAAATATGCCATACAGAAATTTAAGCTGGACTACTATTACAGAAATTCAAAATGTAATTGCTGCTGGTTTAAAGAAAAAACTTGTTGATAAGATCAATCAGTCTGATTATTTTGCAATCTTAATAGATGAAAGTACTGATATCACTGTTTCCAAGAGACTTTCAATTTGTGTGAGATATGTAGTCCATGGTAGTGCATATACATCTTTTCTTGGTAACTGCGAATTACCAGATGGTAAAGCTCATACTATAACTTTAGCTTTAAGTAATTATTTAAAGGAATGTGATGTTAACTTTTCAAAATGTGTTTCACTTGCAACAGATGGTGCAAGTGTCATGATGGGTAAAAAAAACTGGTGTTGGGGTACAGGTTCAAGCTAAATTTGCCCCATTTGTAATACAAACTCATTGTATAGCACACAGATTAAATTTGGCAGTAACTGACTCTATTAAACAAATTGAACCACTAAAGAAACTGAAAGAAAAATTTGCAAACCTTTACCATTTCATATCTGCATCAGGAAATAGGACATTTGCCTTAAAACAAATGCAGGGGTTGTTAGACGAGCCTAAGCTGTCTGTTAAAGAACCATATTCCATTCGTTGGCTGGGTCTTAAAAATGCTGTTGAAGCCGTCTATGAATCATATGGAGCCATACTTGCAACATTGTCTAGCATGGCCGATGAAAATTCTACAGCTAAAGGTTTATACAAGTACTTTGCTTCATATAAAACGGCATTACTTTTAGCTTTCATGTTGGACGTTCATACCATCCTGGGTGTCCTATGTTGTGAACTGCAGGCAAAGAACCTTATTTTTAGTGATGTTCCTCCCCTAATAGACAGTACTGTGGAGAAGATTGAGTCAATGAAATCAGAAGAGGGTAATGGATTAGTAGAGATGAAAAACAGCATTGTTGTGAAAGATGAAAAGGCCTTTTATAAAGGAGATGAGCTTAAATATTATAGCAAAGATATAGAATCACAGTTTTCAAATGTTAAAAATAATTATTTGGATAACTTGGCCAAAAATATTAAAAGAAGACTAAAAAGGAATGATAGTGACACTTTAATATACTTGAGTCAAGTCTTAGAACCATCAACAGTATGTCATCTTCCTGCTGATACCAGTAAAAGTGCTCTAGAATGTTTGGGAAATCAGTTTGGAGTTGAAAAAACAGTGAAACAAATGGAAGGAGATCTGATTATAGGTATTTCAAATTGACATTTAACTGATGTAAACTTTTTCTTATTTAAAACAATAAAAACTTAACTGATATAAACATGTTTACTTGCAAAACAACATTGTCCAAAAAAATTAAACACAAAGTTGATGAATTTATTTTTAAAGAATCTGATATCTAGGACTTGCAAAATATATTATAATGTCACTATATTGCTTCCTGATTTATTTAAATAATAACATATTGCATTCTATATTACAGGGACAACAGAGACTGTCACCCATGTTGAGCCATTATTAGACAAAACAAAACTTGAGAAGGAGTGGAAAGGGGTTTATGGGATGGTAAAAGGCACATATAGGAACATTTCCCTCAGTGACCTGTTGCCAAAGATTATGTGTGAAGCACAGTCTGACATATCCAAACATGGCTAAGTTAGCTAAAATAGCCTTATGCATGGAGATTTCAAGCACAGAGTGTGAGCGCTCATTCAGCACTCAAAACAGACTTAAGAGTAAATTAAGGTGGGACATTTATATTAAAGTCTATCTATCTTTATATTTTGAATTTATGCAGGTGGATCTACTCTAGTATATAATTTTGTTAGTAAACTAAGAAAAGTTTATAAGTAAATATTCTAATTATTTTTAATGCAAATGTACATGATTTTATGCATTCTTGAAAATTGTTCTTGAAGTATATATGTTGTTGTTTATCTCATGGCAGGTCATCACTCAAAGAGATTTCACTTGAATCACTGCTGAGGGTTAGCCTTTATGGAGAGCCAGTCTCAGAGTATGACCCTGTACCAGACACAAGACAGTGGTTGGTCAAGAATCGCAGAAGGAAGCGTCTGATGCAAGATTATAAACCAAGAGAGTCCAAAAAGCAAAAGAAATGACTGACATATCTTGTATTACAACTATGATAATGCAGTAAACATGGAAGCATAATAAATGTTTTACTCTTTTCCATACATTGTAAGGAGTAAAAATACTCCTGCCAAATTTCAGATTTCAAGTTTTACTCATTCACAAAAAAATCAATGAGTAAATACTCATTGCCCTAAAAAATTATCTGGAGCCCTGGCTACAAGTTATTACAACATTAGCCACAGCCCTTCCCACAGAGTCTAACTTTTATACTACGTATTCATGTTACAAATCATTAACTTTTTTTCAAATGGTCATGTTTGCTTTCCTTGTGACGTTATGAATTTTAAAGATATACTATGCACATCCTTGAGTAAAATATTTTAATCACAGAAATTTATTGAAATCATTTTTATGAAATTATTACTGAATATGTTTAATTTTAATAAAGGAACGAATTAACTATGTATGGAAAGCTGCGTTCCCAATAATGGCTCAAGAAAAGTTGGTTCTTTCTAAAAAAATATTTAAAAAAACTGCTAGTTTTCTTTTAATTGACACTATATATTCATAGTTTGACCACCTATAGTGTGCAGAATTTTAAACATATTAACTTTGTCCGAAATCAAAAAATATGATAAACAAGATCAACAAGGAAAGGCGGCGTTCAATGAACGCAACCCCAAAACCTGTTAATTTTATATTTACAAAAAGACTGTAGCAATTATCATTATTATATGAGCTATTAAATGACTTTCTCTGATTGGTTAATATGTAATCAGAGTATATTCCCTGTTTTTTCTTTTAAAAATCGATTTCACCGGGGTTTTTTCTTTCTAAAAATAGATTATTTTCTGGAAAGCCCACAAAAGACGCGTGCTATGACGTGGCCTAACGCCAATTTTATTGTTATTTATTCTTTTAAGAATACATTGAGCAACTCGCGAATAAAAGTCAAATTTTACTATTTTAGTTACCATCTTTCACTTTTTATAAAATAATTCGAATTTAGAGTGCCAATGCGCTCATTAAAATTTCGGAAAAGTAGACAAGCTAACAAATGTCGATTTCCGCCGTATTCAATGGCAGATTTAATATGATCCCATATAAAAGCGATTTAAAGATGATATAATAAAACAGATATATACTTTTTAGCTGGTGAATAGTATGTGATATGTACTGGAAAATGAATATTGACCGTACATATCGTATCATATTCACCAGCTAAAAAGTTTGTACAATATTTTCCTATCTCAAATTGGAGCATAGTATATCTTTAATATTATTCAATAGGCAAAAATATTAAATGCTTTCTACGAAAAAGGTATGCTTGCTTGATAATTCTAAAACTGTTGCATAAAAAGAAATTATAAAAATTAATAAGGAACATGAAATAGAAGGACGAATTGGTTGTGTGTAGATTGGTTAACCATCGACACATAATTATGTTACAGTATAAAAAGGACATACATTATGATGTAACTCTCCAGAAACGATGGTTAGGAAAGTACCCGCCTATATGACTGAAATACTGTTGGAAAAAGGCGTAAAATGAAACAAACAAACAAAATGCAAGTAACTCAGTTCGAAACATGAACCCATTTTGTTATTCTATTCTATATTTTCAAAAACAAATTATATACTGTTTGTCATCTTGGTTTATCGTTTTTATTTTCAGATATACGATAAAAATGAAGCAATTCGTAGCAATTATTCTGGTCCTTGCCGTTGGTGTTGCCATGGTAACGTGCAAATGTGACAGGAAAAAGTGTGGCGGGAGAAGTCCTTCAATCGGTGATTGCAAGAGGTCTGACCACGTATGGCGATGGAACGGGTTCAGTTGCGAAAAAATGCCAGTAACATGTTACGATATCAAAGCAAATAACAACGCTTTCGACACTATGCAGGCATGCCGCAGTCTTTGTGACAAATATCAATGAACATTTTTGAAAATGAATTGACGATTCTTTCCGTTTATTTTTGACTTTTTTAGTCGAGCTATAACACTGAATACAATTAGGAACATATGATATTTTTGTTATAATTTTTATGTCATCCTTTTATCCGTTAGACATGGTTGTGACCTTGTAACTCTATAAAAAGTATCTTGCATATAATAAAATTGCTGCCAATCGTTACGAAATTTAACGATGGTCGTAGTTAGTAAAATGTTTATGGTCATGTTGACGTATAGGATAAAAAAAGTCATGCATTATGCATTATGATATGTACTTTAATTTAGTTAAATAACATTTTATTGTATAGTTTGTATATGATAAATTTAAACAATCTAACATCATTATCTAAAGGATAAATACAATTAATTGTAAAAGGGTTGGACCAAAAGGTATACCAACATTATATAGGGTATCATATGTATGTGCGAGATTGGTTTATCCAAGAAAATAATTTCTACCGACCACCGACATTCCGCACGCAAGCTGAATAGCTATCTCACATTGGTACAAGACTGATGATTTTATCGAATGATAATGGATAAACTGTATGGTTTGCAAGAAAGTTGCAGTTATAAAGCCTTTAACGATTTTACATACTTTTAGATAAAATATCAATATTTCAAATAAGTAAAATGTCCAGAGTGCTGCAAAGTTATTATCTAAGATACATCGCTGATCATTTTCAGACGATTCACACCTAACACGCATCAATCCAATGTATTATGTTGAAGTACTTACTCTTAGTTTAATGACATTATATGAAACTATGTTCTAGCTTTAAAATGAACGAATTTCTTTTTATAGACAGCATGACTAAACGCATATATGTATCATCGAATCATCGTTTAATATATAAAGAGAATTAAGCATAGTGGGTTTTTCATCTTTCGGCACTAAATTTTGCCGCGTAAGAATAAATTAGATTACACATTTGTTCTTGCTCGCTCATAATTGTCCTTAGAATCAGAACGCGTGTTGTACATAAGCGTAAATAACGAAATAGCAAACAAGCGTGATCTGTTAACTGTTTAAACTTGGGTAAAATCTTTTTTAAGTCAAGTTCAAGATCGAGATACGCTCATAATTATCGTATTACATGTATATTTAAAATTATCCTGTCACTTGTATCAATTTCGGCCCGATAACAAGGTGCCGTATATTTTTACTGATCTACGGCACTTGATCACGTGGTATGCATTTTGCCGGACTACTTTTCAAGAAAAAATATAATTATTATTATAATGTTGGACTTTATGTTTGGTGGTTAAATTTGTTTTCGCCTCAGAGTTTCCAATAGAAACGTTCTTTACAGGCCGTTCCAGTGGTATGAAAAAACTGTCGTTAAATCTTCTGTGTGTGGAATAACGAATTTTGGAAACGTTGATAAAACTTTGTTTGTTTATTTTATTTCACTCTATAATTTTTCAAGCGAAATAAAAATTATTAAAAGTGAAATAAATGTAAAACTTAACTCGTTTGCGACATTAAAATAGCGTACTTGATTTGATTGTTTTGCACGTGCTGTTTGGCGCTACGTTGTGATGTCACGTAAACAATACTTTAAACGTCTGAACAGCGTTAACGACTGCATAAAAGATATTGGTGTTCGAATTCATTTTCTTAGTTAGACCATTTTCTTTCATTCTAGATAGTTTTTACAACAAAATTCGACAAAAACTTGTTTTTATTTATCACATTTTTCAAACAAAATGGCGCCCTCAATGTGAAAATACACAGGGGGATAATAAGAACGGCGAGTGCATTGTTGTAGAATAATGCACGCTTCGGTCCTTCTTTGTTTATATATAGAAACATTTCCGATAGTGTGATTAAAGGTAGTTTGCCTAATAAAATTCTTTTAAAAAAACGGTGACAGGATAAATAGAATAATAGATTGGTTCACCCAATAAATTCCTCCGCCTCGCCAGATAAACTTTCTCCATCCACGGCACCAACCTATTATTCTCTATTTCACCGTCAGTGAACTATACTTAAAACTGCTGCCCAGTTTTACATTCTGTCGAATTCTAAACGACGCTATGAGAGCAGCACACCCTCAATAATTGTGCCACAATCGAAAAAAGGTAAAACAAATAAACATTTTGAGTATGAAGCTTATTTATGTGACTAACTTCACGAATAAATGGTCTGTAATGTGTCATAATATGCTGAACTAGCCACTACAACATGTTTATTACTGCTATTATAGAATAGAACAAAAGAGAACATAATTTTGTTTCGCTTCTTTGTTTAGATGGTGGACATTTAAAAGATGACTGGTATATGGTCAACAAATGTGTATAAAAGTTAAATGTGCTGTTTTATATTATAAACAGAGGAAATGCCTCTAAGAGAAGGATATCAATTAACTCACAATGTTGACGAGCTGATGTATTCGTCAAAATGTCATATTCGAGATAACATGGATCATCGTATATTCGTATCTCTATACCTTTTTGGATTTACACATTGTGAAACGACATATACACTGCCTTTTATTATCTCCCCCCCCTCGTACAAATCAGATAGCCTCGTGTTTCGATGCTCTTTCTATTACATATTTTGTTTTTAAATTAGCTTCACTTACATCATAAGTGCTGCCTATATGACTGAAATACTGTTGAAAAAGGCGTAAAATGAAACAAACAAACAAACAAACATCATAAGTGTTCGATTCTGTCCCATAGACGACGAGAGAGTACAATAGGATATTTTCATGGGAATTTTATTGGTCGAATTTCTGTTTAATTCACAAATTAATTCACAATATTTTCCCATTTTTTTCCTTTCATCAGTACAAACCCATATAACCGTATATCTGTCTATATTATTATCAAAATGATAACAATTTTTCATGTCAGACTTTAAAGTGACATTATGATCATTATTTCGCTGACAATGCATGTAATATATACTGTATGAGGGTCTATTCGCCCGTCAAGGAAGAAAAAGTATCCTTCGCCATCGGAACAAGGGTAGTTTGGTCTCTAGGACATGCCCTTTATGTAACACAATTGTCGCTTGGATTTAACATGTTTCCACCAGGTTTTGATGCTCTGTGCCATGTGCCTTCTCTGCGACGTGCATGCTCCGTTATGAAGAGAGAATGTTTGCTGTCAAGTTACATATGATAACATGAAGTAATATATTTCAATAGATTTAATATCCTCCTAAACCACTAAGCCAATTTCATCCAAACTTCAAATGAATGGTCACCTTTTAAAATTTGTTCAAAACATTTATTTCCACTCAG